ATGAATAATGAAAGGTAGAAAGAACCCAAAGTGAGGGTGTGCTTCTTCAGTGTCCAGGAAAGATCTTTCTTTATTGATGTGAAGAGCAAAGTGTCTTGTAAGACTGACACTCTTTTAAAAAGAGAGGAGGAGAGGCCATCCTTCTCCCACAGCACAGGCAAAAAGCTCTCTAGACCCATCAAGGTGCTGAAGTGTAGAGCTGGTCTACCCTTTGGCTGCAGGAGATTCTTCACAGTGAGAGGTGGAAGGGGTCATTAAAAGGTATTTTGACAACAAAATCTATTCTTGTGTGTTCTTTCTTCATGCTCATGAAACTCTTGATGCTTCAGTGAGAAAAGGTAAAGGACCAGGAAGCAAACCAGTTATGTCAAGATGAAGAAATAAGAAATAGGAAATGTCTTTAAGGCATGACTTCCCCCAGCAGAATTAATTGTCATTGTATTCTCTATCACATTCACAGTGGTTGGAGACCTGCTTTCTGCAGAGAAATGTTATCAGTGATCTTTTCAGAGCTGATTCTCTTCTCATAATTAGAGAAGTTAGACACAGAACACCAGAATAGCTACTGCTGCTTGTGAAATGTTTAACTTCCATATGTACCATGATAAATCTCTTAAGTAATTTTGTATTCCCTCATTTCAAGCAAAACTATTTCTAGGACAGATAATGCTGTCACACATTTAAGGGTAAATTGGTCCAATTTAAGAAACCTTTATATTCTGCAGTCAAACCTCTTCCTATGAGGTATTTTGGATCCAGGCTTTACACTAAAATTTGTGTCTAAAGCATTGTTTTACCACTAAGAAAGAAAGAGACTGCTAAAATTCACTGGAACAAGTTGAAAAAGAGGTAATTAAATGCAAATAAACCTCCTCCACCACATTATCAGAGTCCAGGCTCAGGACTGGCAGCACTAGCAACTTCCTAGCCAGAGACTCACAATCACCCAGGGCTGATTTACCCTGGTAATTACTGGCCAATCTCAATTGCCAGAAGGAGAGGTGGGCTGAGCAGCCACCATGTGCCTTGTCTAGCACCTGGGCTAAGGAGGCAACTACTGGAAAGTGAGAAAGAGCCACAGGGATCTGTGAGAGGCTGCTTTGCTCTGGGGGTGGGTGTTTCAGTCATGCACCAGCCAGAACCCTGAAGGGCTCATGCTGCCTATGTCAGAGGCCAACACCTCTGGCAAGATGGGCTGAAAGGGAAACACCTTTCCATTCCAGAGGAAAATGAAATCTCACCAGCTATTACAATCTGAAAAGGAAATTTTCCAGTCTCCTGGATTATATTAAAACAAACAAACAAACAAACAAACAAAAAAAGCACAAAACAAAACAAATTATTATTGTATCTCTGCACCACTCTGGGAACATGTTAAGTGCATTTTAGTGGCCTTTTTCTTGCCAAGAAATGCTAGGAGCCAAACTGTAAATGAGAACTGAGATCCTGGGGTCTGAGAAAGGGCTTCTGTAAAAGGGCTGTGGCCAAAGATGGACTCCAGCTTTCTCCTGGAAGCTTCATCCATCTGGCTGTCATGCTAAGGCAGATTCACACCTTCAGGTAGTTGTCTGCCACACAGCCCAGGAAGGGCACAGCACCAATACACAGAGCACAGCTTACTAGAGACGTGTTTTAAATCCATTATTTATTTTAGAATCATAGAATCATTTTGGTTTGAAAAGACTTTCAAGATCATCAAGTTCAACCATTAACCTAGCACTGGCAAGTCCACCAAGCTTGTGTGCCAAGTACATCAGGCAAGTTCTACTCACTTATCCCACCTCCCTGTCCATAAGATGTTTGAATGGTCTCTCTTGCATTTTTTTCTGTGATCAAACCCATCCCCATGACATATCTTTAGCAAGGGTCTAGATGCAGTTTTATCCAAGGCAGCTTGGGGTCATGTATAGAGTTCAATGAGGAGAAGTGTAAGGTCTTGCACCTGGGAACACATAACCCAGGAATGCAGTTCAGACTGCCGAGAAATGTGGTAGAGTCCTCCACATCAGGCAGTTGTAAGTCTCAACTTGGTGGGGTGCTGAGCCATCTCATATAAACGATAGCTGTACCTAGAAAGGTTGGACCAGATGATCGTTGAGGTTCTTTCCAACCTGGCATTCTATGGTTCTGTGGTTCTATGAAGTGCTGATTGGAAAGATCTAGTGAAGAGGGTGGGTACTTGCTCCTGCCATTGCTCTCCTGGTCCTGCCGGATTTGTGTGCTGAGGTCATCAGCACAGCAGGGACTACTGAGTTTGGCTCACCCAAAGGTTTTGGCAACAGTGTTCCAAAGGTGGAACTTCTGCCTAACCCGTCTGTCTGCCAGGGATTTCAATTCAGGTTCTTTCATGGGAGATGTGATTGGGTTGGTTTAAAATAATGAAGAAAACTATTATATTACTGGCTGTTCCAAATCCAAAGCTCACTATGTTAGCAGAAGACTTACAGTCTGAGAACAAGCAGTTGCTTGCACAAGTAATTTTCTACCAAAAAAAGTAACTTTCCTCATGTGAATAAATTAAGCTCTTTTCTCCCCAATTCCCTGTGACCCCCAGCTACTCAGTTTTCATACCACCACACCTACTATGATTATTCATTTTCCTTTCGCTATCCTTCCTAGCCCCTGGCCTCACATTCTGCCACTGGTCTCTGTTTCTCTGTTACAAATGCCTCACGGACTCTGGGGCTCTCCAGCTGATGTTTATTCGCAGCTAGTCCCAGGCCCTGCACTCCTCTGCCCTGTTCTCAGTATCCATGGGAACATCCTCATTGTCCCTTGGTTCAAAACAGGGATTCAGTGTCCACCTTCACTTTAAAGATTCACTCCTCATCTGCTGCATGAGAGAGAGAGAGTGCTCTGCCTTCTTGCACAATGCAGAGTTTGAGAATAAGCTTTTCCATGTTAATTCTGTATTCTTATGTCCATCTTCTCAGTTGAAATCCTCTGCCTTTGCCAGCATCTGAAAAGACAAGAGTTGTTTTTCTAAACTTTTGGCTGGCAGAAGCAAAGCCGCTGAAGGCACTTTCCCAGCCGTTGTGTGTTCTCCCCCCTGAACCTCTTCCCAGCTGGCCATGCTCATTCTCATGCTTCCTCCTCACCACATCCCCTCCCTGGAGTGTTGGGGGAGATGTTCAAGGGCAGATGCTGCTGCTTCCTCTGGAGAGACCAGAGCAAAGGTCTGTACCATCACTGAGGAGCTCCAGTAGGTACTGCTCCCTAACTCAAGACTGGGGAAAGACCTGAGCCATAATAGGGACCATTTTCTCCTTCTTGTGCTCTGAAAGCTGAATGAAGAAAGGACATGCCTGAAGTTCCTGCCCCTCCAGGCACCAACAAATGTTTATTAATTCAGCACTTACATCAATTCCTGGTCCTAGGGAGCTGATTAATCTTTCCTGAGGACCTGTGCCTGCCTCTGGGGTACTGTCTACATGGCAAGTCCAGCAGAATGGAACAGCTCAAGCTTTCCAAGATTTGTATTCACTTGCTGTTTCCCAGCAGGGGTTCACTGCTTGCCTCACCTCCATTGATACCGGGAGGTCCATAAATCAGCTGCACAGTGATAGCGCAGCCCTGCCCATGCTCATTATGTATCTTGTTGCTTGAGAAAAGCACCAGGTTTGGTGCCAAGTACATTAAGGAATATGCCTGGGTTTAAAAATACTCCATGGGAGGGAATCACAACATTTCCAAAGCTTGGCCTCTTGCATCACAAAAGCAGAGCGTGCTCCCTGCCATGTCTCAGGCGATAACAAAAGCCCAAGGCCAACAAACAAAATTAACAGCTTCAAAACAACAAAGCTTTGCAGGGTTTTGTAAACAGTGTTTTTTGCCACAGTCTGGCCCAGAGTCACCATCTCGGATTTCCCTGCCAGAATGATGGAAATATAAATAGGGGCTATAAACCCAAAGTATTTCCAGCTTATACATCCGAAGGATAGAAATTATAGTCTCTTAGCAAGGAAAATGTTCGAGGGTAGTGAGGTAATGGGACCTGGTTACAGAGCTCATTTCTCTGAAAAAACTTTAATACAGCATGGAAATTTTTCCAATGTCCTTGATGCAACCTCTATTAAACTATAAAATATTCCCCTATTTCTGTGGAAAAGCCCCTTCCATGCCTTTGAGAATGAACTGCTGAGCTCCATTTTGGAAGCAGTTTCTTTCCGGCTGCCATTTCCAGAAGTTTCTGAAGGGCTCTGAAGACAGAGCATCAACAAGGACTGAGATACAATTGTTTGAAAGATAATCTGTTGCCTCTTGGTTTACCTAGAAAGGCCTCACTTTTCTGTGCATTTTCTGAGAGCTGCTGTTGTTGAACTAGAGGATTCCTGGCTCCAGTCTTGCTAAATAATATTCTGGAAGTCCACGCCACGAGCCACAGGACTGGATGAGGGGCTCTGCTCATTTGATTAATTACATTACCATGCCTGCCCTTTTACTTGTTGACTCAGGGTCATAAGAGCCTTGGGATGTGCTGCGTATGTAGTAAACTGATTAAAGGGGAATGTGTGTCAGTGCATGGATTTGCATGATAGCTTTTTGAAATCCCTCATGATCTTCCCACCCACTGGGCATCGCTTCAATATCCAGTTCAATCATCAGGAAACAAACTTGCTCGCTCATCTGCGTCGCACATTGCAATGAGCTTGCCAAATATGGCCAAGCTTTTAGAAAGAAAAGAGAATCCCCCCACCAGCAAATTTATGACCCTTGGCTCTGCTCACAGCTTGTTCCTGTGCATGCCTGAGTGACATGGAAACTGCAGCAAATCTCTTTGGCCTGTTCCTACACTCTCACACTCGCAGCTGTGTTAGATGTTTCCTTTTTTTATTGACTAAGGTTTTTTTTGGTTGGTTTGTTACCTTCTAATGCAAGCAAACCATGACGAGAGGCACAAAGAAGAGCAACACAGGTTAATGAAAAGGGGAAACAGGGAGAGACTAGACGTGTTGCTGAGAGCTTGGAAGTAAAACATTGCTCTCCTCATCTGTTTCCAGGTCCTTCAAGCCTGACTTTGTCCTGATCCGGCAGCACGCCTACAGCATGGCGCTGGGAGAGGATTTCCGTAGCCTCATCATTGGCCTCCAGTATGGTGGCATCCACACGGTCAACTCCCTCTACTCCATCTACAACTTCTGCAGCAAGCCCTGGGTGGTAAGTGACAATCAAGCTCTACTGCATGCCAACACTGCAAAGTAGATGCCCGGTACCAATACAGCACCAAACTCAGCCTGTTTCGTAGGCATTTGTCTCTTTAGAATAAAACCACCATCTAAACAACCTTAGGAATCCAGCTGGGAATTCTTTGGGGAAAAAAAACTACCAGCATTGATCCTTTAACAGCCTTTAGTAATACCAAAGTCTTATTTCCTCACCTTCAGGACGTTCAGGACTTCAGGACATTTCACCTGTCTCAGACTCCGATGTGTCACAAGCAGCCAACAGCAAGATGTAGATTTCTTGTAAGGCAGTGCAGGTGAATAGTAATAGATTAATAACTGCGGATCACTAGTAGCAGGTCACTGTCCTGATAAAACATGGTAAAACTACCTTAGGAGAAACACAAACACTCACTGTTTTAGAAGGTATCTGAACGGAGTTATTTCTAGCACCTTTTATTAGATGTACACAGGTGCCCCAGCCTAAGACTAAGATTACCTCTTTTTTGCAGAAATGCAGGCTGGATTTGTCTTCTGTTGTCTTCTCTTTCCACTTTTTCTCTGTTGCACTTTGTTGTGAGGAAATTAGCTTAAAAGAAAGGCAAGAGAGGTAAATATATTATTTCTTCAACTAGTACGTATAGTAAAAAAGGGAATATAGAATGACAAAGACCTTGGAATAAAGCAGAAGAAAAGGGGAAAACATGCAGAGTTTTTCAACGGTTTCAGAGAAAATACAAGATTATCATAAAGTCTTGGTTTATTTGGTCTGACAGACTGTACCTTGGAAAAACCTTGGGCTGAGTCAGCTCCTGGGGAGAACAGAACAATGTTTCGATATTTTGCACTGGGATCCCTCTTCAACTGTTCTTTAAATTTTGTCAAGTTCACCTAGAAATCTCATAAAGCCATAAAAAAAATATCATTGGCTTGTCTCAGCCCCAGATCAAAGTTTGCAATAACTTCCCAGACTTCTTTTGTGACCAGCTCTAAGTCAGCAAGAACTGCAGGAGCAAGAGAGCCTGAAGAGTAAGGCTGGCCATCATGAGCCACGGGAGCAAGGCCAACCATATTAGCACCTGCAGGGTGAAGTCAGATGCTGACATCATTTTGGAGTCCACAGCTGGGTCTTCCAAACAGTTTTATCCTGAAGTGCCCTCCCTGATCACTGATGCTCCCAGAATGGAAACTTCCCTCTAGCATTCTAGGTCTGAAAGGGGGAACTACAAGCTGTATGGATGTGACAAGGAGATGGGACTTTTCAATATGCCCTTCATGGAAAACTTTTAAATACATTTTTAGGAATTCCTCTTATCTTTGCACAAATATTGCTTGGAATGTGATGTAATATTTATATCAAATGGTAACTATCTTCCTTATTACCTAATTAAGATTGTTTGTTTGTTTGTTTAGCTTTTTTTGGTTTGTTTTTTCTTCCATTGGATTAAATAGCCCATTAGTCTTCAGTGTGTTAATTGGTTTCCTGAATCCCAGTGATGTCTGTAATGACTCAGGCTTTTATTTCCATGACTACGCAGTGTTGGATTTAACTCACTCCTTATCAAAAAGGTATCAGTGTTACAGACATGGTCTTCTCAATTTTCACCCCTTAATGACATCTGTAGGTTTTGTCGAGACCAAAACCAGAATCCTGTGTTGTCCAAAAATGCTCCAGTGCAGTTATGAGTCGTGTGAAAAAAACTCACTTTTCCATCAGTGGTGGATGATGCTCATTTGGCCTCAGTCCCCATCTGAATGACAAAGGTTGCTGGGAGGGGAAATGGGAGGGAGAGATGCATCAAGTACCAGGCTCAGTACAACATCCTTTGCATTGTTTCCTACAGTTGATGTTACATGCACGAGCATGTTGACCCCAGTGACCAGATAAAAACCCTCTGCATTTACACTGGCTTTTGTTGAGGAAGACATTCATGTGGTCCAGTTCATTTGATTTTGAGGTTGAGACAGTCAGGGTTTAGTTGTTATTTTTCAACTCATGGCTTATATTCATGATGGTGTACATGGCCGTAAAGATGAACAGGCCTATTTTTAGGAAACTGAAATAAACAAAAAAACCACATTCAGCACATGGAAAAAATAAAGAAAAAAATAATAATAAAAAATAATTTAAAAAGCAGAGCTGGCAAGGCAGTGTGGGAGAAATTGGCTCTGCCAGTAATTTGGATCTATCTATTCAGGGACCAGTTGTGCCATGCTTTCCTCACAGGGAATACAGCTGGCTCAGGCAACCTTCCCAGAGGAGTCAGGGAAACCACTTGTAAACACTTAAAACAGGTTTAGCAAAAATGTCTCCTTTCCCTA